CCTGCATCTCCTACCATATAAAGCCTCATACGGCGCCATCTGACTGCTGGACTGATAACTGTTGTGGTAAGCAAACTCCGCCAATGGCAAGAACTGATCCCAAAACCCACCAAACTCAATCACACACGCACGGAGCATATCCTCAAGAATCTGAATAGTGCGCTCGGACTGTCCATTCGTCTGGGGGTGAAATGCTGTGCTCAACTCTACCCGAGTACCCAACTCCTGCTGAACGGCCCTCCAAAACCGTGATGTAAACTGAGTACCTCTGTCCGAAATAATAGAAACTGGAATACCATGCAGATGAACGATCTCCCGGATATAAATCTCCGCCAACCGCTCCGATGAATAAGTAGTACACATAGGAATAAAAATGAGCGGACTTGGTCAGCCGATCTACAATCACCCAAATGGCATCAAACTTCTTCGGGGTCCGTGGGAGTCCAACTACAAAGTCCATGGTGATCCGCTCCCACTTCCACTCCGGAATCTCTATCTGCTGAAGCAACCCACCCAGTCTCTGGTGCTCATACTTCACCTGCTGACAGTTGAGGCATCTAGTTACATATCCAACTATATCCTTCTTCATCCGCCTCTACCAATAGTGCTGCCTCAAATCCTGATACATCTTTGCGGCACCCGGATGGATGGAATACCGCGAACTATAGGCCTCCGCTAAAATCAACTCTCGAAGCCCATTAACATTGGGCACACAAATCCGACCCTGCATTCTCAATACCCCGTCATCTCCAATGGTCACATCTCTGGCATCACCGTGCTGAACCTTGTCCTTGAGGACAGGTAGATGAGGGTCATCATACTGTCGCTCCCTGATACGATCGAATAAGGAAGACCGAGAAACCATGCAAGCTAGGACCCGACTGGGCTCCGAAAGATCCAATCTCAAGAGCTGGCTGGCTAAGGCCTGAATATCCATCGCCGTAGGCCTCTCTGAAGTTGGTAAATATGCCAAACTCCCCAAACTCTCCGCCCGGCGACTCAAGGCATCCGCCACCACATTGGCCTTGCCCGGGTGATACAGAATAGTAATATCATAGTCCTTCAGCAACTCTAACCATCTCCTCTGGCGCAAATTTAGATCCTTTTGCTTGAGCAAGTGCTGCAAACTCCGGTGGTCAGTATAGATCTTACAAGGCACACCGTACAAATAATGACGCCAGATCTTCAAGGCATGAACAATAGCAGCTAACTCAAGGTCGTGGACAGGGTANATGGTGCCTCGAATGTAAACCGGTCTGGGCTTGGCATCGTTTGAAGCCACCTACAAGTAACACTATTAGACAATCTATTAAAACTTCTAGTGAGGCCAACTCTCGAGGCATCACAATAGACAGTATAAGACACCGAACCGGTAGGCAATATCAAAATTGGGGCTGTAGTCAAAGCTGTCTTGAGCTTCTGAAAGCTCGCCTCACACTCTTCTGTCCACTGAAATGGAGCACCCTTCTGGGTCAATCTAGTTATAGGTGCTGCAATAGAAGAAAACCCTTCAACAAATCGACGATAATAACCTGCTAAGCCAAGGAAACTGCGAATCTCTGTAGCTGAGGATGGTCTAGGCCAACTCTGCACTGCCTCTACCTTCTTCGGATCCACCCGAATGCCCTCACTCGACACCACGTGGCCTAAGAATGCCACAGAATCCAACCAAAACTCACATTTTGAGAACTTTGCATATAACTTCTTCTCTCTCAGGGTCTGAAGCACGGTCCTCAGGTGCTACTCATGATCTTCCCGACTCCGGGAATACACAAGAATATCATCAATAAAAACAATAACAAACGAGTCGAGATATGGCCTGAACACATTGTGCATCAAATGCATGAAAGCTGCTGGGGCATTGGTCAGCCCAAATGATATAACAAGGAACTCGTAATGACCATACCGAGTCCTGAAGGCAGTCTTCGGGATATCTAGCTCCCGAATCTTCAACTGATGGTAACTTGAGCGCAAGTCAATCTTAGAAAATACCTGTGCGCCCTGAAGCTGGTCAAACAGATCATCAATGCGAGGCAAAGGATAACGGTTCTTCACTGTAACCTTGTTCAACTGGCGATAATCAATACACATATGCATGGAACCATCCTTTTTCTTCACAAACAAGACAGGAGCACCCCACGGTGAAACACTGGGGCGAATAAAATCCTTATCAAGCAATTCCTGCAACTGATCAATCAACTCCTTCAACTCAGGAGGAGCAATACGATACGGAGGAATGGAAATGGGCTGAGTGCCCAGCAACAGATCAATGCCAAAATCAATGTCTCTATCGGGCGGCATGCCCGGAAGGTCAGCTGAAAACACATCGGGATAATCCCGTACCACTGGGACTGAATCAACAGAAGGGGTATCAGCACTGACATCTCTCACATAAGCTAAATACGCGGCGCACCCCTTCTCAACCATATGCTGAGCTTTAAGGAAAGAGATAAGTCTACTGGGAGTGTGATCTAAAGTACCACTCCACTCAACACGCGGAATACCTGGCATAGCCAGCGTCACGGTCTTGGCGTGACAATCAAGAATAGCAAAATGGGGCGACAACCAGTCTATGCCCAAGATAATGTCAAAATCAACCATGTTGACTAACAATAAATTGGCTCTGGTCTCAAAACCACGAATAGTAACCAAACACGACCGATAAATGCGGTCCACAACAAGAGAATCTCCCACAAGAGTAGAAACATAAACAGGGAAACTCAAGGAAATCCCGAGGTACACCCAAATGCGGAGAAAAATACGAAGACACATAAAAATAAGTAGAGCCTAGATCGAATAGAATCGGTACACCTCTATAACAAACCATGACAGTACCTGTGATGACAGAAGCGGAGGCAACAGCCTCTGTACGGGCATGTGGGGTAGCAACTGGGGCTGTAACCATAGCCTGAGAACTCTGCGGGGCACGCTGTGGCTGAGAAGTCTGTGGAGGTGCACTCCTCCTAAGTCTAGGGCAATACCTAACCACATGGCGTATGTCGCCACACTCAAAGCAACCTCGCGGCCGACGTGGGGGTGGAAACTGTGCACTACGGGTACTCCGAGACCCCTGAAACCCTGTGTGAAATCTGAGATGCAAACTGAGCTGGCTGACCCACAAAACCCCTACCATGCCGTACTATTCCTCCAAAATAAGGACCAGCAGGTCTCTCCCATCTACGAGGTCTACTCACTCCTCTATACTCTCCCTCCTGACCTCGTCTGTCCTCTCTCTTCTGGATCCACCTGTTCCCTACTCGGCGAGAGGTCCTCACCACCCGCTGAACTAGGACCACAGGGTGTGTCGCCATGACACCTGGAACCTGACCAACGAGGACTCGCTGCTCTGAAGTGGGGGAGGCGGGAGTCTGGGTCCCTCCCCCGGCCTGTGAAGTAGTCGGTACAACCTGAATCAATCCCGCCTGAATCAACGTACAAAACATGCTCAGGAACTGAGCCAAAGTCTCCTGAAGGGCTGGAGTAGTAGTAGCTGTAGGCATGTCAGGTGCCTAAACTTCGGCTGGATCTCTTGATGGTACCTCGGCGGCAGCTCGTGCAGGTTCTCTCGCTGCACCACGTGCGCGTCCTCGGCCTCTACCCCGGCCCCGGCCTCTGACGGCTGCAGTAGGGGGCGCGGGTGCCTGATCATCTCGAGTAGCACGTGTCCTCACCATCTGTGAGAGAATAGAAGGCAGGAGTTTAGGATTGTGATGTCAAAAATCTCGCACGACAGGGAATCAAATGAAGTGAAATTTTCCTAACGGTTACATAGCCTCTCGTAGATAAGTACAGATGTCTCCGTACCGATCAGCGAGACTCTAATAAACCGGCTTGTGTCTCGTGACTCCTATGAACCTAGAGCTCTAATACCAACTTGTCACGACCCCAGTTCGCCCTCCGTGAACATGTCATGATGGCACCTAGTCCCTACGACTAGGTAAGCCTAACAATGCGGAAATAACATAAATTGCGGAAACAAATAATTAAACTAAACAAACTAGAAGGGTAACTGTATATAAATGCCGCTCGGCATATACAACCCAAATAATGCGGAAGTCTACAATGTCATCCCAAAACTCGGAAACTCACGGGAACACAAGCTAACAGAAAGTAATACACGGCTCTAACTCCAGAATGTCTAAAGCAAAAGTACGAAAGGAAAAGCTAACTGCTAAAGCTAGAATAAGATAGAGACTCCTGGTCTGCGGACGCGGCAGATGTACCTCGAAGTCTCTGCTAGATCTCTCCGCCTCGAGAGTGATACGCCTGGGATGAAGTACCTGGATCTGCACATGAAAAACATGCGCAGAAGGGGCATGAGTACACTACAGCGGTACTCAGTAAGTGCCAAGCCTAACCTCAGTTGGGTAGTGACGAGGAAGGTCAGGGCCCTACTGAGAATAAGCATAATAATAAATCTTGCAACAGCATGAAATAAATGGAAGTAATGAGTACAGCTATGAAGTAAGACAGGTTATACAAGGCAACAATTAACACTCAGAGAATAAGACAACACAGAGTAAAACAGCTCAATACAAATACCAACAATAAGGATCTCCCAGGATACCATCCTGTAGTCCATTTCATCTACTGTCCAAGGAGCTCCCGGGATACCGTCCCGTAGTCCATCATATGAGTATATCCGAAGGATCTCCCAGGATACCGTCCCGTAGTCCAACTATCAATGTGCAGGGGGATCTATCGGGAATCTAACCCGCAGTCCCAAGTAAATATGCAGGGGGGATCTATCGGGAATCGAACAGTTTCGAAGAGTTCTGGGGCACTTAGTCCCTAAATGAGAGCTTAAGTGTTGGAAAATGGTCCATAGTCAGAACAGTATGAAGACGGCCTCGGAATGGAAATCCGATGGTTCCGTTAGCTTCGTTAGGTGATTTCGGGGTTGGGAGCGTTAATTCTTAAGACGACCGGCCGGGTCGTCACATAGGGCTGGTGATACTCGATGGGGATCTCACTACAAATCCTTTAATAATTTTATTCTTATGTTTGGCCCTATCACTGATGTACTTGATGCTATTGCGGTTAATGCACGTTTTGAAGAAAAGTGTAAGGCAAAGGGATACCTTAAAGCATGTTTAACATTTGAGATTGCCTTCATGTTGCATTTTATACGTACTGTTTTAGCAATTACAAATGAGCTTAATGTTGCCTTTCAAAAGAAGGAGCAAGATATTGCAAATGCTGTGATACTTGTTAGAGTGACAAAGGATCGGTTGCAACAACTGAAAGAGGACGGTTGGGCTCCACTTATTGATGAAGTATCTAAGTTTGTATTAAATGTGACATATTGATACCTAACTTTGATGAGCCTTATATGATCCTAGGAAGATCACGTCGTAGAGTTGCAGAGTACTCTATTTTACATCACTATCGTGTTGTAGTATTTCGTAAAACTATTGATTGGCAATTTCAAGAACTCAATAGTCGCTTTGATGAGGTGACAATTGAATTGCTTCTTGGAGCTTCTTGCTTGAACCCGGTTAACTCTTTTTCAAGTTTTGACATTGAAAAGATATTGAGATTGGCTGAGCTATATCCTGATGATTTTGATAAATATTCTATAGTTGACCTTCGTTTTCAGCTTGAGAATTATATTGTTGATGTTCGGGATGATGACAAAAGGTTTTCTGATCTTAAGGGACTTGGTGATCTTTCCAAGAAATTAGTAGAAACAAAGAAGCACGGGACTTATCCTCTTGTGTTTCGGCTAGTGAAATTTGCTTTACTTTTGCCTGTTGCTATGGCTACGGTTGAAAGAGCTTTCTCAGCAATGAAGTTGATAAAGACTGACTTACGAAATCGAATGGATGATGAGCTTTTGAGTGGTTGTTTGGTGCCTTATATAGAAAAAGATGTATTTTGTAATGTTTCTAATGAGGCTATTATGAATACATTTCAAAACATGAACCTCGTCGAGGAGAATTGTAGTGATGTACTTGAATTGTGTTTTATTAATATTATTTAAGTTGTCTTTTTATAATATGATATATATTATAAATTATTTACTCGTTCATTTACTCTTTAAATAGTGACACCACTTACGAGAAATTCTGATTTTCTGATTTTGAATACAGTAGACAACATATTATGTCTAAAAAATTTCTTTCTGTAATAATCAATATTATACAGTTAAACAGAGCCATATACTGTACCATATAACGGCGTCATCATGTTAAGAGGCCTAACTGCCCACTCAAACTACGGCATAACAAACCAGGGTGCCCACCAACGGCATACACAGATTAACCGAAACAACTGTTACTTTCACATGTCCACATCACCATTAGGCATTAGGCCGCCCCCCCCCTACCCCCCCCCGCACACCAAAAAAAAAAAAAATATACCCCCTCTCTCACACCCCCTGCTCTATATATAACTAGCATTGCGTGAATAACGCAGTCTTTAAAGTCACTTCCACGTTAAACTCTTTAGGTTCACATATCATAAAACCATTGTTTCTTGTGCACGGTATGAAGTTCCTACCGGAATTTGCCTTATGTTGGGGTGGCGCAACCATCACCCCAACGGTGACAGAGGTCGCCTCTGTAACCACTGCCCAGCCGCCGCAGGAGGAGGAGCAAAATCGCGGGAGAAATAGCAGTGAAGCTGCTACTCCAGGTGCTATAAGGGGGAGGGGAAGAAGGGTAGTAAAGCCCAAAAATGCAGCGAATTGGAAACCGGCGCTTCGAGTAATATCAGAAGAAAGAGTGATGTCTGATATTGTTGGTAATTGTAGCGGAGGAAGATCAAAAGAACGTGCAGCTGTTCCATCTTCTTGCGCCAAATCCGCTGCTAAAGTTAAAGCTAAATCTATTGCTAGATCCCAATTATCTCCTAGACACGGCGACGACTACTGGTACTGACTTCTCTCTCACTCTCTCTCTCTCTGCTACAAGAAACAATTGTGGAAATTACGAGCTAAAGTTTGTTTGGCTTTGTGTATATTTGCAGGAAATCAACAGGTCCGATGGCCGTGCCAGCATTTTCGCCGACAGCATTTTTATTCTGAGCTTTGTATTTTGCTGTTCTTATGTAGTGTATATGAATTGTGAATATTAATGAATCAATTTTCTTTTAAGTACCCAATTTTCTCTCCCTTTTATTTTATCTATTGTATTATAAGTTGGAAATGGAATATAATATTTCGGAATTCATCGGAATCAGTATCGTTGAACTGTTATATTGAAGTCGATTTTCAGTAAGTTTGTTTTGCTATAGAAGATCCCAAATGCCAAACAAGTCTACTTAACAGAAATAATGAGGTATTACTTTGCCTTTTTTTTCCCTTCCTAATCTTAAACATTCAATTTATTAAGATGATTAATCTTGGATAAATTTTGATTAATTAAACTAATAAACTAATGCACTACGTATATCGATCTCAGGGTGCTTCTAACAAATTAACTACTTTTTTTTTTTGGGTAACTAAAAAAAATAGTTAATTTTTTTTTGGTAACTATTTATAATATTGCAAAACCTATCATTTCGGGAAGAAGCCTAATATATATATATATATATATATATATATATTTTAGAAGGTTAGCAATGGTGGTAACAAACCCAAAGGATCAACAATGGTGGTAATTAAGAGGAGTAGCTATTAGAAGGTTAGCATTAGTTCATATAAGTAACTAATTAATATGCAAATTCTCTAGTTAACAAGACTTCAACCATTTTGAAATTATGACGACTATACAGTATAAATAATGTCACGACCCGGATTTCCCACCCTCGGGAGTCGTGATGGCGCCTACTAATAGGAGCTAGGCAAGCCAATTAATTTAACATTTCTCTCAACAACATTAACAGTATAAAGAAGAACGAGGCAATTAATATAAAAGCGGAAGTCTCGAAACATAAATAACTGAAACCAAGTGCGGAAATTCAAATACACTTCTACCCATATCTGATGTCACTAACTCACGAACTTCTACTGAATGCTAAATACAAAGTCTGAATAAGAATACAGTACTGTCTGATCCGATACAAGGGAAATCAAACGAAAGACAGAGATAAGAGAGACTCCGGGCCATGCGGACGCCAGCAAGGCTACCTTGGAAATCTCCGGACTGAAGTAAGCTCCCAACGCTCCTACTAATGTCCAAAAGCTCCTGCTCCGGTACTGTGATCTGTGCAAAAAGCACAGAAGTATAGCATCAGCACAACCGACCCCATGTGCTGGTAAGTGCCTGGCCTAACCCCGGCGAGGTAGTGACGAGGCTAGACAGGACCTACCAAAAATAACCTATGCAGATATATACATATACAAAGGCAACAGAAATAACAACAGAGAATATCAACTAAAAAGGGGAAGGGGGCATGCTCGGGGAAAAATACAGCGAACACAGATCAACGGATATAACGACGAAACTATCCCAATACCATAGCTCATTTATAGGTAGTCGGAGCGCCACACGATCCCATTTCTTAATTCATAAGTGGACGGCGTGCCACACGATCCCATTTCATAATATATATAAGTAGACGGCGTGCCACACGATCCCATATTATAGAATATAAGTGGACGGCGTGCCACACGATCCCATTTCATAATATATAAGTGGACGGCGTGCCACACGATCCCATATCATAGTATATAAGTGGACGGCGTGCCACACGATCCCATATTATAGTTCAAAATATCTGACTTTGTAAAGAAGGCCTCATTAGAGGAATTCGACAACATAACACTTTAACCCGGCAAGGGTACGGCTAACAGCCCAAATATCCCGGCAAGGGAGAGTACATAATAATAGTCTACACATCCCGGCAAGGGAATAATCACAACACATCCTCTTTTAAATTACTTCTTTCTCGACTATCACATTCTTGTTCGAGCCAACGCTCCAAAATATACCAATCACAATTCTTCCTCAACCGTTCACATTATATGAAATTTATCAATTAAACAAGGAAATTGTGTCACGTCATTCGAATTAAAAGCAGTTAAGACTCACGGTCATGCTAGACTCCGGTGCATAGATAACCGTCACCATACCTATACACCGTACTCCACATTTAGCAAGTAGCAAATAACATCCTAATCCTATTCCCTCAAGCCAAAGTTAGAACAAACACTTACCTCAAAATGCTCCAAACTCAACTCAATCCTCTAGTATAGCTTTACCCTTCGAATTCTCCACCAAACCGCTCGAATCTAGTCACAAATTACTTGAGTGTATCAACAAAGGCTAATCTAATAAATTTGAATGCATGGAAAGTGAATTTTCCCAAAGTTTGTTCAAAAATCCCCAAAATACCCCGGGCCCACGTGGTCAAAACCCGAGGTTCGAACCAAAACCCGACTACCCATTCCCCCATGAACTCAGATATATAAGTTATTTTGGAATCGGACCTCAAATTGAGGTCCAAAACCCCCAAATTTTGAAACCCTAGTTCTACCCTAAATTCCCAAATTCCCCCATTAAAATCTTTGTTTTGAAGTTGAAATTATGTTTAAAGATGTTAAGAAGCAAAGAAAATAAGTTAGAAATCACTTACCAATCGTTTTGAAGGAGAAGAATCGTTTGGAAAATCGCCTCTTATGTTTTGGGTTTTGAAAAAAGTGCAAAATGACTGAAAATCTCAGATTTATATACTTTGCTGAAGGACTGGCGCGGACCGCGCAAAAATGCCCCGCGGCCGCGCCGAGGAAGGGAGGGAAAACAACTCTCTGATCCTACCCAGCGCGGACCGCACGATTTTGGTGCGCGGCCGCGCTGGTGTCTTGCACCTGGGGCCTTCTCTGAATCTCCCAGCGCGGACCGCACGAACTTGGTGCGCGGCCGCGCTGGTCAAACCAAGGCTGAGGACCCCTCTGGATCTGGCCACGCGGACTGCACCGCGGCCGCGCTGGGGCCTGCAACACTGCAACATCTGTTACTTTAAGCCTAAGGCCTCCCGGGACCTACTCAAAACTCACCCGAGCCCTCGGGGCTCCAAACCAAGCATACACACTAACTCAATAACATCCTACGAACTCATCCGTGCGATCCAATCGCCAAAACAACATCGTAATCATCAAATTAGGCCTCAAGACCCACGATTTCCTTCCAATTTTCATAAGACATCAAGTTTAGAGTTTTTTGTCCAAAACACGTCAAACGACGTCCAAATCTAACCAACTTTACAGCAATTGCTTAAATCACATTTAAGACTTGTGCCGGGCGTCGGAACCAAAATACGAGCCCAACAGCACAGTTTTCTAAACAAATAACACTTTCAAATTCTTTAATTATTTTCAAAAAATAATTTCACACAATAATTCATTTCTCGGACTTGGAACCTCGGAATTTGATTCCGGGCACACACCCAAGTCCCAAAGTTTCCTACGGACCCTCCGGGACTGTCGAACCACGAGTCCGGGTCCGTTTGACCAAAACGTTGACCAAAGTCAAACTCGATCAATTTAAAACGTCAAATTTTATTAATTTTCTCACAAATTCACATGTAAACTTTCCGGTTACGCGCCCGGACTGCGCACACAAGTCGAGGCAACCCCCAAGTGAGGTTTCCAGGGCCTCAGAAGTACAGAGGGAGTAGGAATACAAGTGATGACCCCTTTGGGTCGTCACAAATAAATACTTATTGTAAATCGTAATATTACACTTTTAATAAAACTATTATTGAAACTTGATTAGTGTGGACCAACTTAAGCACAACCATGCATGCATTATATGTGTCAAAGGATAACGAACTTGGGGCGTTGACATAATCTTCATATGAAAGTTTGTATTAATTAACTATTATCTATTGGATGTTTGGAAGAAAAATAAGAAAGCATATTAAAATCTGCACAACTTGTACAAGAACATGTGGTCCTTTTTTTCATTGTACGCAAAATGTGGTAATCTCCACGTTACAATTGGGCGTTTGGTTGTATTGTTTATAAAGTAAATAATGGCGTCAAAAAAAAATTATACCCAACTACGTAATACTACTACTCTAGTCGTCCCAATTTATGTGGATGATATTTGAATTTCAAAAGTCAATAAAAAGTTTGAAATTTTTTCATATGCCTTTTTATTTAGTTTCAAAAAATATAAATTTTATTTTGAAAAAAATTAAAGATTTTATGTTCAAATTTACGATTAGAAATAAACAAGTTTGACTCTCAAAATTTAAACGATGACACGTAATTGGGAAAGAGAAAGTATCATATTGCATCAACTTTTGCCATTCTATTCTACCCCATTATATTATTCTTCATACTTAGATACAGTCTTGTTACCATTCCTCGTATCGCCATATTATTATCCCTTTTTCAATATATGTATGTATTATTACCATATTATTATCCCTTTTTCAATCTATATAGTATGTATCAGTATATCACTAATTAGTAATTACGTATCTCTGTTTGCGAATGAAACTCATCTCAGAAAAAGCAAACACCTACATGACCTGCTTGCAAAAATGAATAAATAAAATAAAATGAAACATGACCTATTAATATTTAATTAGACGAGTGACCTGCTGTTTCAAATTTTCCTATAGTAAAAATAATCAGTTAGCGGTTTTCCTTGTACATTTCATCAAATATCATTCCCACATCACTACAAGAAAAATGTATATTACATGGGGATTCCTTTGGGGATTAATATATAAGTAAATTTGCTTGTAACTTAGTTTCCTGCGAACAAAAATCCATTGGAAATTTTTTAGTGGTAATTGGTTTGTGACTTTCTGAGTATTTGAAGACGCTTTAATATCTTTTTAATAACATACTTTAATTTTTCTTTATTTTTTGTAATAAGACGCTTTAATTATATTGTATCGTATCATTTCTTTTTTGAAAGAATTTTTTTTTTTTTGGTTGTAAATTAAATGTTGTCAAAGCAGTCCTGGTGTTTTTGCATGCAATATCAATATGAACGCGCTGGATTCTATTGAAAAAAAAAAAACGAATGACAATTTCCTTTCAGAAAGCAACAATTCTGATTGATATTTTCTTAAACGATGTATAATTGGTCGCAACTTGCTAACGACGTCTTATTAGGAGTAAAAGACAAATCAGAAACCTGCCATAACTGCATCTTCGTCTATTATTGTTCTAAATTTTGCTTCTTAAATTGTGTCATGTACTCGTTATGGGTCCCGATTAATCCAGATTCGCATTAAAATTTTCATTTTATGGTAAAGGACTCCCTACAAA